GACGTAGGTTGCTAAGCCATTAAAATTTTGCCCATGGAGGATATGAAACAAATTAATTTTTTAGGTTTTATACATATATTTGAATAACTAAAAAATCATAAATTACTACATCAATACCTTAGAATTACACTATAATTTATAAAGCTTGGTAACTAAGATATATTTGAGTCTAAAAATATATGAAATTTCGAACAGACTAAATATTGGCTCAAAAGAAAGAAATGGTATCCAAGCCCATTATAATGACTGAGAAAACCACTAGGGGGACATTCTGAGCTTTTGATTGGTTATTCATGTCATATATAGAAGTAAGTGTATATAAGGGGGTGTTTCCAAAAATGGAAAGAGGTGAGTGGGGTGCCACTGTGTTTCATTGATTACATGAGCAATATCTGTAATTTGAGTTTCTAATTCATACAAAACTATAGACTTAGTATTTTAACTTCACAAACATCTAATTTGAACCAATTCTCCATTCAACATACCACGTGACACACAAAAATCGATGTTTACCTGTGTATTTTTAATATTTACTTTTAAATTAAGAAATTGAGTAATGTATAATACTAAAATTTGAATTATAATCTACAGTTTGATACCAAACTTATTGACATAAATTCATAAAACAGTAGTTAAATAAAATTTTGAATGCGAGTCAACAAACGAGATGAGATGACCCGTGATCCGTCTCGAAACGGTTAAAAAGACAAGATGGTGAAGTAATTCAACCACAACACTTTCTTATAAGTTTTAAAGGCTGAACAAATCTGTACTTTACATGATTAACCAAATAAATTCATACTTCACATGAATCAGACAATTAATATGAACAACTGTCCATTTGATACAAGTACTTGCCTCAGGAATTCCAATTATTACTAACTAAATTTTTTAATCAATCAACAAGATATTGTTTGGTAAATATGTCTTATATTCTTGTATTCCATCATTATTAACTGAACAAACACATGTTTGATTCAGCCACCTGGATGTAGAGGACACTTATTAGTATATCAGCATCAGTGTCGTACACACCTGATAATTATCAAACAACAACCACTAAAAAAGATTCAAATATTAATAACAACTTTAAAATCGGTTACACACTTAGACAAAAAAACTTAGTCATAAAACGGAAACAAAAACAAACTAGGCTTAAGTTTCCACACAGTACTTTGATTTTGTTGTATGCTTTTCTTTTGTCTATACATCTTGTAATCTATGTTTTATTTGCTTTACATACACAACAAAATAATCAATTCCTTCAAAATTACCTTACCCTCAATTCATCTAATTCTTGACTGTCAACGAGCACTGAAGAAATAATTTTTTTCACGTTATCATTTGTCGCTCCATTAGGACCAGAGGGTTGTAGTTGACTCTGTTTCTCCTGATGTCTCTTCTTAGTTTCTAATTCAAATATCTCATTAGTCAGTGACATTACGACCTTGTCTTTTTCTTGGAGCAGTTCTTGGTAGAGCTTTACTCGCTCTTTCAGCTCTTCAACCTCACTTTCTAGGCCTCTTCAGTATAGCAAGATTTCAATAACATATGATCATCAAACACACAAACAATATATTCAGTAAACAGAATTCAATAAGACATGGTCACCAAATCCTCACCCTTACTAATAACCAATGTAACATAATAAACAGATTTTAATAACTTATTAGTTACTGTTATGCCTAGTATCACATCACTTGTTTGATATTTTATGGACTAAGCAATCTCTAGGCTCAAAGATGCAGCTAGAAATGAGCTGGGTTTTATATTATCGATCATTTACAAAAAATAAATCAGTACCTTTACACTTGTAATATTCTACTTTAATATATCCGAGTTTCTGTAAATTTCTAGACCTTAGTTTGTCACTAGATATCTTCTGACTGCCACTACACCTGCAGTTTGAGATTACAGCCTTTGGCTGAGTACTCTCGTCAACAGACTGTGCTTGTTAACCTATTTATTATTATTATTAGTTCAACATTCTCAAGGCAATAATAGAGCTGGCTTAATACTTTGCTTTCATGGGTAGAATTAGCCAAATGTCATTATATATCAATGTTATTACGAAATAGGGTTCGTTGTATATTTATATGTTAGTTTGTTGTATGGAAATGTTATATGTAATTTTGTATACAAAAGCGCATTTCAGTCAGTATAGAAATATGATGTTCATTAGAGTTGACCATGAAGCTCATTAAAGCCTTTGGTTTCATTGATTCCTCTTGTACTAAATTGCTGGCATAAAGTCAAAATTAGTGTAAAACTAAATATAAAGTCACCGTACTGAAGTTAAAGTTAAGGCATAAATTCTTTAAAATACATAAAACAACACAAAGTGTATTTATGTTAAACTCAACTGCCCCAAGTAAAGCGTGTTTAGCAGTTACCTCACAAATTTAAAGACATATTACTTGATTACATTTAATAATTTTAAACTGCATTTGGTCGTATTTAATAATAATTTTTTTATTAAACTTACTTCATCTGCTACGCACTCAAGAGTTAGTGAAACTATGAAGAACAAATATTTTACGTACGTTACTTTCTGATGTATTATCTCCATATCCTGCTGTTGAGCCCTATAGTCATGGGTTAAGTTGACTAACTGCTGGTCTTTTTCATTCAGAAGTTGAAGGTATTTCTCTTGTGTAGTTCCTCGGTTAAGTCTTGAACTACAGAATGTCAGGTTTTAATTACTATCAAGATTACATTAAATAACCTAGAAGTCACACTATTTTTATAACATGCTCACAAAGATTCTTCTTTAGGCACAGTGAAGTTAGTTGTAAGTCAGTAGAAATGCATTTAAGTTGACTAACTGCTGGTCTTTTTCATTCAGAAGTTGAAGGTATTTCTCTTGTGTAGTTCCTCGGTTAAGTCTTGAACTACAGAATGTCAGGTTTTAATTACTATCAAGTCCTGAGATTACATTAAATAACCTAGAAGTCACACTATTTTTATAACATGCTTACAGAGATTCTTCTTTAAGCACAGTGAAGTTAGTTGTAAGTCAGTAGAAATGCTCGGGTTAGTTTAGTTTATCAAGTACTCACCAGGTGTCTTTTTCCATGAAAGCAGCATCAAGCTCTTTGTGAAGAACCTTGATCACTTCTCTGCTTGCGAAGAGTTCATCTTCCACAGTGACGAGGTCATCTTTCAGTGACATCATCTGGACACTGAGCTGGGGGTATCACACCACATTAGCCACAGACATCTTGTTAGAAATAGTTATAGTTAATTAAGAACAAGACGAATACTGTACGTTTATAAATGAGGTACAGCAAGAAGACTGCTTCCTTTTACACACGTACAAGTTAAACTTTACTACAGTAAGCCCACACATTAGTTTCATATTATAATCTATATTCAAGACTCCCTGGACTCTTCTTAAGTGTACACAATAATCCACAAATATTAAAGAAAAAAAGTACCTTAGCATTACAAAATATATACTACTAGTGTTGAATCTACAGCTTTGTAGATGACATTCTCAACAGATGGCATCACATAACAATACTTAATAATAATCTCTCACAAGATAGGACTTTTCTTCTCAGTTAAACAAAGAAATCACACTGATCTGATGAAGGCCTGAGCACAGATGCTGCAACATTACTCTCCTTAATCTTAAACTCGACACAGAATTAAGCCTAACGAATATTCAACAACATTAATATACATTAACTTTTGTTGTATTTAACCCTAAAATAACGTTTTATTACAATGTAATCTTTATTTTACTAAAAGATTCCTGCCAAACTTTAGTGCTCAAAATATTAAAACATGAAAGTGGCAATAAATGATGTATTTTACAAGACTGATCTTTCTTTAAATTCATAAATTTCAAAGCAATAATATGAAACACCTGAACATTTTTACTCTATCAAGAGATGAAATAGGCACAAAAAATTGTTTAGGAGAAAAATATTTAAAAAAACAACAACAACAAGAATCTTGAAGTATCTTTTAGAAAGGTTAAATATTTTTGATAGACACAGTGGAAGTTTAAATATAACTCAAGTTTTGGATTCCTTGGACTTATAAAATATTCTGATAATTGAAGTTACAAACCATTATTATTTGCTGAAAAATTAAAGTTAACAAGCCAACTAACTTACCATCACTTCTAATAATTCCAAATGTAATTCAGACACAATCATGCTTAAGAATTTCATTTCACTTTAATAGCCTCAGTAATTAAATATTATCATTTTCCTTTGATACATAAAAGTAGTTAATAATACAAGATAATTTACAGAGGTTGAGTATGTTACATTAAAACAATTGTGTAGCCTCACCACATCATTACAATCCATACCACTACGTCTGGTTATGCTCTACCCGATGGCCATGCAGCTTAGTTTGCATTGCAAAAGGCTCCATCATAAGGCTGTCATGTTAAAAGCATAACATTACTCCCTGCTTGCTTTCCATTGGCCAAGAACAACTGTTTATCAGCATCCACATCAACAGTCTAAACACACAAAAATCCATAGGTTTGGCTACTTTAATGGTATGCCTTCATTTGGAAAAGCATGAATACCCATTTCATTCTCCAGCTGCTTGAGGTATGTGACTATTGAAGGTATATGTCTGGAAAGCAGCTTGTGAACATGACTTACACCACTTTTCCAGATGGAGATCCTTCCTGATTATGCCTGGTTCACAGGGACGGCTTTTTCACTGACCTTTGTGTTCATGAAATCTCATCTTTTACACCATGCCACACTTTGCATACCACAGCTGAGGTGCAAATTGTTGCAGATCTCATTCTGGACAGTCCTGGTACCCCAAGTTGATCCATATGCCTTTGTTATCCAATGTCATTATGTACAAGAGATATCCTCCATCCTGGATATTCTATATCCTCAATCTGAACATGTTTATGATCTGAGTGTATGAATGTTTTGTGTCAGAAGTTGCTGTTAAGAACTCCACCTGTGAAACACAAAGTAGTGTCAAATTTAGTTCTTATACAACAAGCTGTTCCACCACTTTATATCAGCTGTGGTTGTCATGTGACTTCCTGATTTGCACATTCAAAATCACTTTAATATAACATACTCAATCCTTTGTATACCACACTTGAATACCGACTTCATAACTGTGACACCATTAAAACACAAAATATGCATGTACCTAACTAAATTTACTAGTTTTATTCATTGATTTGCTCCTTTTGCTTTTCATACACTCTTCACACCTTATTACACCTGACACAAAATGATTCACACACTTTGCTTATCACACACTTTACATACCTTGTTACATCTGACACAAGTTGATAGAAAATCCTTTCTCTTGCTATAACATACATTACACATCTTGTTACATGTAGCTCATGATGATTCAGTCTCTATTTTTGACATTTCTGATATATTTTACATATCTCTTTACATTTGTAGTCACCACTTTGTTTGTGATATACCTTACATGCATACCTCTTTACATTTACATTTGTAGTCACCACTTTGTTTGTGATATACCTTACATGCATACCTCTTTACATTTGGCACATGATGATTCAAAGTCCCCACTTTTCCTGCTTGAGACATACTTTTCCTTGAAGCTATGAGACTTTTTGATGCGAAATGAGCCTTGAATCTTTGAACAAATAGCGTTCAAGCTAGGAGACTTGGATCCTGAGGAAGAAGAGGAAACGGACACAGCGTCATGACTACTACTAGCTGCTGTGTCTACCTGAAGGGATGACTTTGGAGAACTGGTGACTGGACATAAATTAGCATCTGCAGTACTAATGCCTTCCTGAACAGCATAACCTATATTTAACAGAATGGCAATAAAGAATTAACGTGATGGATTGTTGAGGCAAAAACAAGTTCAGTACTCATCATACACCATACTAGGGGCGGAATACCCAGTTTCAAAACTAGCAGTTGGTCCTGACACCATGATAGAAGAGGACAACCTCATTTTTTTTTCAAACTTTAGGCTAATATATGGTCATAAAATCACACTATTGGAAGACTCAATCTTTAGGCTAACATATGGTCATAACACCATATTAGTGGAGGACTGTCAAACTTTAGGCTAATGTATGATCATAATACCATATTATTGGAGGACTGTCAAACTTTTGGCTAACATATGGTCATAACACCATATTAGTGGAGGACTGTCAAACTTTAGGCTAACATATGGTCATAACACAACTTTAGTGGAGGACTGTCAAACTTTAGGCTAACATATGGTCATAACACCATATTAGTGGAGGACTGTCAAACTTTAGGCTAACATATGATCATGACACCATATTAGTGGAGGACTGTCAAACTTTAGGCTAACATATGGTCATAACACCATATTAGTGGAGAACTGTCAAACTTTAGGCTACCATATGGTCATAACACCATATTAGTGGAGGACTGTCAAACTTTAGGCTAATGTATGATCATAATACCACACTGGGGGAGGACTGTCTGCTTTATGTTGATAGTTGGCCGTAGCACCAAACTAGAAAACTAACCATTGTCAAGCTCACAGTTGATGGTTAACTAAGGTAAGGGCATTAATCTGATTAAGTGCATCAGAGGCTCTAAACAGAACCCATTTGGAACAGAATGAGAAAATGGAAAATCTTGGTCAACAGCTATTATTGCTTCCTTAAGCTAAATAAAAAAAAAAAATTCTTTAATACACTTTCCATACGAAGGAAATTAAAGATAACGTTAAAATTCATTGAAACTTACAATCACTTCTGTCGGTTTGTTGCTGTCGATGATTCCGTATGGCGGCTACCGAACTCACCACTTGATTACGAAGGTTGTTGTATGTAGATTGGGCTAGTAACAAAGGTCGATGAATGCTGCTTTGAGAGAAAGAGTTTTTTTGGAAACCTCCCTCTGGTTTTCTAATAGGACACACAACTGACAGATCATTGTTATCCTCATTTTCTGGACTTTGTTCATGTGAAGAATGAGCCAGTAGTCCACTTTCTGGCCTCTGGAATAACAATCTTTCGTAAGCTGTATAAGACAGGTGCAAGTTTACATGAAACCAAACTTTAATGACAGAGAAACCACCGAGATGACTGCGTGTATTTATTAAAGTGAAAATGTCTTGTTATTTCCAATAAATTATGTTTTTCATCAGTTTTGTAACTTACAAACTTACAACAGCAATAAAAATTGAACAGCATTTATTTTTTACTACAATTAAGTTATACCAATGAATTAAGTTATAGAAAAATAAAAAGGAAATAAAAGTCTAGCAATGAACCAAGTTACTCAATCCTTAACACACAACTATATAAACTTGAAATGAAAAAAAACTGTTTTATATAAAAACGTATGAGGTTAGAATATACTTTTAGATCCTGAAAATTATTTTGTGACTTGATAATAGTTGAATAGAAGAATGTATCTTTTTAATAATTTCAGGTAAGATTATAAAAGTAATTTTGGGAAAAAAGTTATCTATCACCAAACTATTGTATGAAAATCAGCTACACCCAAATACCATCACATCCTGATAGCTGCACTCGAACACAGACACGTCTTGATAGCTGCACTCGAACACAGTCACATCTTGATAGCTTACACTGTCACAACAGCAAAATATTAATACAAGTATACTATTCCCAGCAGAACAAAAGTGCCAGATGACAAATGTATCAAAACCCAATTTTCAGCGAAAGCTACTCCATGTGATACAGACTAAGGTGAAACTTCACGTTTCAGGAGAAGCTGTATGGAGCCTCTGAAGAGGATACATGAAAGTAATATTGTTGATGATAGAGGTAGAAAACCTGTAATCTTCCAAAGTGATGTTAAATAGATCATGGTATGCTCATTACATGATATATGACAATCTTCCAGTAGAGATTTGGCTAATGACCTAGTTTTAAATACAGGTATGAATGTTATCTCTGTGGCATTAAGTAAGACACACATTAGCACAAAGTGGCCTCTGTGGATGTGTAACTGCTCAAAACAAAAAAATCACTGCTCAGAAGAGATAAAATCAAAAGGCTGAAATTGGCACCAGAATTCAAACAATGGGATGAGAAAAACTGGAAACAATCAACAACAGTTTGTTCAAAGGCAAGGAATATAACAGTACACTTATCCCTTGTCCTTTGCAGTTTTATCATTCCCCATTTCGAGTATTTGCAGTATAGCCGCAGTCTACCCCCCCCCCCCAAACCAAGTTTGAGGCTTGCACTGTGCATCCCTCTGTCTTTGTTCAACCATGGTATTTCTGTGCAGACCCTCCCGTGTAACCTCTCCAAGTCCTCCACCTGCTTCCTCTGACACCACTACCTCTTTTTACTAATGGTATTGCGGTTTTAACATTCATGGCAATTTCCAGAACCTATCCCCTGTGAATGGCAAGGGATAACTGTATCACAATCAACACACATTTACAGTGAAGCATGCTGGGGACCAATAAAGGTGTGTGTTGCATCTCAGCTAACATGGACACCCACAGAACTTAAATGCAAATACAAGTTTACAGTTTTAATAAAGATTATTTAAAATAGTGTCAGCAATTTACATAAAATGTACACCACCCTCACTGATGACAGTTAACACCACTTTTCCTCGGAAACAAGACACGTTGACTAGAGAGATTCATATCCCAGCCAGACAATAAATGTGTGAAAAAAAATGTGCATGAAGTCCCAAAATGAATATTATTAAGGTTATACGTGTTTACATGGACAATGAAAAGGTTCAGTGGTGATCAAACAACCTCATCTTCAGAACATTAGTGCATTGTACTATCTGTTTTCTTTTATTTGTGATAATATTTTGTACCATTTATAAGTTCACCTTTTTGTTGTCATAGTTTTTTGTGATTTTTGTATGTGTGTGTGTTGATTTTGCATTTCTGTGATTATCTCATTTACTATACGATTGTGAAATATTGTCCCAAATGTCTTTCATTACACCCATAATTCAGCGAACCCTTTGTTTTGCACAGAGCATTACACATGGTTTTCTTGCTGCCATATAGTTCATCAATATACAATTGTGAAACACTGTTCCAAACGTCTTGTATCACTTCTCACAATCCAGCCCGGATGTTTGCTTGCCTTCTGACCTTATCATAACTTACGCAAGCCCATAAAGTCTCAATAACTTTTATAGCAGCAATATGGTTGTGAGTTTTCTATCAGTCTATTTACTGTCGAGATATCGTTTCAACACATTTGCTGTATGTTTGAAGATGAATCCCTGTATTATATGTCATGTTCCTGAGGTAATGGCATCATGGATCAATATATTCTGTACTTGCTAGTAGTCAGGGTGCCATCAATTCTGTATAGATCATTCACACTACTGGCTGAGATGCAGCTCCAAACTGGAACTGATCCCCCACTATACTTCACTGTAGATGTACCTTGGTTATTCAACTGGCACACTGATTATGGTATCATTCTCCTCTCTGCTGTCAAACAAACTTCCATTTGGATTCATCTGTAGAGACACAAACATCTCCAGCTTTGTTCATCCAACTGTTTGTGGTCCAATACTCATTTCAACCTTCTGAGTTGGTCACTTCTTTTCAGCAGTGGTTTTTCGAGTAGCTAAATATCCAATGAAACCACTTCATACTAATGCATCTTACTGTTCCTGAGGTAACGGTCACACCCGTATTTACAGCATGGTCAGTGGCAAGATCTGGAATCAACCATTAACTGTATTGTTAAGGACATACTCTGATATACTTAAGATCACTTGTGAAGAGTTTGGTTTTCTACTTTGACCACTTCTGTTCCGTAGAGTACAAGTTTTATGGAGCCTCTTCCGAGTCTTGCAAACAGCTTCTACTGAAACATGGAGTCTTTCCACAAATTTTCACCTGGAGTATTTTAGACCAACCAAAATGTTGATTTTTTTTCATGCTTGTCATGCTATATCGCAGCCCTGGGAGACATGACTGGATTTACATTAATACTACTTTTTTGTTTTGTTTTTCAATAATGATGAACTAATGATATTTGACCATTTAGCTGTAATTACTGTTTGCTTGTCAATCCTGCATGTGAATTACCAGTGTGCATTTCCATATTTATTTCCAATACTTTGTATGAAACTAGTAATTATGAAATGAAAAATGCATATAAATCAAGAAAAAATTAGTGTGTGTGTGTGTGTATTTTAAAGTGTCAGTTACTTACACTAGGCCTATCTGCTTCAGACATAGAGGTTTTCTCCTGAATCTGTTGAGTTCGCTTCAGGCTGAAGTGACGTCTCCATTTCTGAAGTTCTTGCAGCCAGAAAAGGCAAGTATTACGATCCTTAGCCTCTAGAATGTACTCTTTCTCTGGAGTGCTAAAACATACAATAGTAATTTATGAGTCAAATAAAAACGTGTACTATATATAGCACAGTAAAATATAACAGCAATGCACTGAGGATACAAGCTTGGGTCCTCCCAACACACAGTCACAGATGGTACCAAGAAACATACAATAGCAATTTATGAGTCCAATAAAAACGTGTACTATATATAGCACTGTAAAATATAACAGCAATTCACTGACGATACGAGCTTGGGTCCTCTTAACACACAGTCACAGATGGTACCAAGAAACATACAATAGCAATTTATGAGTCCAATAAAAAGGTGTACTATATTTAGCACTGCAGAATATAACAGCAGTTCACTGAGGATACAAGCTTGGGTCCTCCCAACACACAGTCACAGATGGCACCAAGAAAAAAAGTTGATAATCTTTATAACAATTGCTTTTAACTTCATCTTTAAATATATTACCGGTAACTAGAAGTTGAGAATAAGAATTCAATCTTTGAAGGATATGGTAGAGTTTTTCTTGATGACTACGAGATAAGAGCGTTGAGTTTAACTAAATTTGCACAATGTCAGTCCATTGTACCAACCCATACTGGAGAAGAAATGTTGCTTATAATTCAAAATTTACAAAATGTATCTTCGTGAGATGGACAAGCTTTTAGTCAGTACAATTTTGCTACACACAAAAAAGTTGGATGGGTTACTAAAGTTTTTCTTACTAAAGATATGTCTGTGGAATATCAAAGTCAGCCTGACAAGGACAAGTACGAGTGCAAGATAATATCCATGTGAAGAATAAAAATAATTTTGTACACTGTAGAGTTTGCAAATTGCATTTGTACAACCTCTTAAATGCAGTTTTTTCAGTATTCCTTTATACTGTATCAGGTACTTTCTCTATTTTAACCCAAACTGTCGTGTAAACAGCAATGTGAAAATTGATAACTCTGACGTTATTTGCATAATACCATGTTGAATGGCACTCTGTACAAGGTCAGAGCATTCACACTTTGATCCCCATTCGTGCACATAGGATTAAATTATGTTCTTTCATCAGTTTTCACCAGGGAGGATGTTGGCAGGTTTCCCAGTTCTTAGAATTGTCAGAAGGAAATGTCTTGGGAGTGTGCAATATGGATATTATACTTGAGCTTCTTAAAAAAACTTGAAAATATATATATGACTGGAGAACCTGATGGTATTTTTCTTAATGTTTTGGGCATATCATTGGATACGGTCAAGGTGCCTAAAGAATGGAGGCTGGTTAATGTTAATTCAATTTTTAAAAGGGAAGATAAACATTGTCAAGGGGGTTTTAGCCCATTTAGTTTTAATTCAGTGGTGGGGAAAGCTATGAAGAGTTTGATGTTTTGTAGGATCAACTGATGAAATGCAAGGGTTTGTTTGGCCAACAAGATGACCTTACAAACAGATGGTCTATCTTAATAAGCTATTAACTTGTTGAGAGTTTTACTGCTTAACTAGATGGGAGAAAAAGAGTGGATTTGGTTTACTTGGATTTTTCAGAGATCTTTTGATGAGATGCCACATAAAAGATTGAGGAAAACAATTATATCAGTCACTATAAAGGAAAATTAGTTAAATGAATTTAAAGTTGGTTGGGTAGGATGAAGGAAAAAAAAATGTTATTAATGGAGTTCAGTCTAACTGGACTAATGTTCTAAGATGTGTACCTCACAAGGACCATTAACCAACATTTACAGAAGCAAATTGGTAAACTGGTTAAGTTTACTTGTGATGTAAAGAACTCAAGTCTGGATGGCTGTAATGAGGACATTATGATATTTACAAAAAAAGAAAACCATGCAACAAACAAACCTTCTATTTAAATGAGTTTTTAATTGACAAGCTACTGGGTGTATTTTAGTCTCTACTCGAGTGCAAGTTATCTATAAATACAGCAGAATACAGCTGCGAGAAAAAAACTTTCAATATTTATAGGAAATTCCCAAATCTATTTTCTTTTAATTAGTCTTCATACAAACTTTCAATCACAAGAATATGTTATAATCTTGGTCCCCAAAAAGTTGTACGTTTCAACATAAACTATATATCAGCCATTTTACATACTAAAATTACAACTTGTAGAAACAGTAAAAACCTCATAAAACCAAACCTTATGTGTTAACATGTAACATAATCAATGACATGATCTCAGCTTGAGTTTATTTTAAACCTTATGTTACACAAACACATTTCATATATAAACATATAAACTTACATTAAAACAAATTTCTAGTACATCTCCAGCTCAATTAGGATAACAAACTATTACTTGAACATGAAAAAAGGAAACCCATCCCATCTGTTCCTCCTCTAAACATTAGGTCCAACTGTGTCGAGTTAAAAATTAAACCCCCTAAAAAGTATACTGAAAGTTGATGTACAAAACCTCCAAAAAAGTATACTGAAAGTTGGCATACCACCACCCCCCCCAAAAAAAAAGTATACTGAAAGTTCTGTTCTTTAATGTTTCATTTATTTTTTTAGTGAGGAATATATTTTTTCACATAATCTTAATAATAAAATTCAGTGTGATACACATGAACAGTATTCATAACAAGGCTCAATTAACATTAATAACAATTAGGCAGAGGGTTTTTTTCTCACCCTAGGAATATTCAGTTGTTTTTTTTTTATTGAAAACCTTGACTTGCATGTGACACAATTTAAAATTCTTCGTCATGTGGCCTGGCATAGTCTGAAGGTTGTGGGTTCGAATCCTAGTCACTGAACACACTTCCCCTTTCAGCTGTGGGGGGTGTTATAATGTTGTGATCAATCCCACAATCTGTTGGTATTGACTAGATGCCTTCCCTCATGTCTATCACTGCTAGATTAGCCCTCAAGTAGCTTTTCGTGAAATTCAAACCAAACCAAACCATTAGGTGATGTACCTAATGAAATCAGATGTAAGTGTATAAAACGGGGAAGTTTTGATGATTAAAAAAACTAAACCACATGTGGTACCTTTAAGAACTACTCAACTGAGAACTGATCAGATGTAACTGTATAAAACGGGAAGTTTTGATGAATAAAAAACTAAACCACATGTGGTACCTTTAAGAACTTAAAACTACTCAACTGAGAACTGATCAGATGTGGTACCACATGTGGTACCTTTAAGAACTACTCAACTGAGAACTGATCAGATGTAAGTGTATAAAACAGGAAAGTTTTGATGAATAAAAACTAAACCACATGTGGTACCTTTAAGAACTACTCAACTGAGAACTGATCAAAAGCTTAAAATTAAAAACTAAAACAAAAAACTATCTTGTAATCTTTATATATAAAACTTTCATTGTTCTTTTTATATTAGAAAATTTACAATATTTTCAATGGAACAAATCTTCAGAAATATGTGGTGGTTTTTTTTTTCACATTTTATATCACTTATATTTAGTGACATAATCATAGAAACATCCAATATCTTAATAAAAGTATTTTAATAATTACTGTCATGTGACAGTCTTTCCCGATTAGAATTCAAGTATCATACCTTTAATTATCTAATCACTTTTGTAGGTAATATTTTAATTTGAGAACATGACAAACGAAGAGATACTGTACATGAACGAGATGGAAAACAATAGCTGGGAACCCCACAGTAGATGTAGAACAAACAACCACTACTGAAGACCATGTGCTATATATATGCGTACATGCAAAGCATGAAACTTCCTCTCTTACATCAAGTACTAATTATAGCCTAAACAAGAAAGTACAACACTCTACAGTGTCCAATAACACAGGTGGTATATAAAAAATACATGTTTAGTCTTTGTGTTCTCTACAACTGGCAAGAGTTTAATCCTCATATTTTATGTATATTACCACTTTTTTTGGTATCATATTCTACACATTACAATGATTTAGTCTTCATACTGTATTCTATATTTGACACCAATTAATCCTCATATTTTATGTATATTACCATCTTTTTGCTATCAGTTCCACACATTACAGTGATTTAGTCTTCAGACTGTATTCTATATTTGACACCAATTAATCCTCATATTTTATGTATATTACCACTTTTTTTGCTATCATGTTCCACACATTACAATGATTTAGTCTTCAGACTGTATTCTATATTTGACACCAATTAATCCTCATATTTTATGTATATTACCACTTTTTTTGCTATCATGTTCTACACATTACAATGATTTAGTCTTCAGACTGTATTCTATATTTGACACCAATTAATCCTCATATTTTATGTATATTACCACTTTTTGGTATCATGTTCCACACATTACAATGATTTAGTCTTCATACTGTATTCTATATTTGACACCAGTTAATCCTCATATGCTATGTTTTATAACACGTAAATTCTCATAATGCACATATGTGATTAACTCAAAATTCAAGTCTTCAAATCCTGTCTGATGCCAGTATGATTTTCATATTTCCATTGTAACATGAGTTTTATCATATTCTGTACCTGATGGGAGTTTAATCCTTATATTCAAATTTTGACACAAGTTTAATCCTCATACCTGATGGCAGCTTAGCCTTATATTCCAATCTTAACACAAGTTTAATCCTCATATTCCCATTCTAACACAAGTTTAATCCTCATGTTACATACCTAATGGTAGTTGAATCCTTATATTCCAATCTTAACACAAGTTTAATCCTCATATTCCCATTCTAACATAAGTTTAATCCTCATGTTACATACCTAATGGTAGTTGAATCCTTATATTCCAATTTTGACACAAGTTTAATCCTCATACCTGAAGGCAGCTTAGCCTTATATTCCAATCTTAACACAAGTTTAATCCTCATATTCTTTTCAAGATGTCAGTTTAACCTTCATATTCTGTCTGACAGCAGTTTAATCCTCATTCCACTTTTGACACTAGTTCATCCTCATACTCAACATATTGAAAACAGTGTAATGAATCAAGTTCATGTTTATGTCTCACATGAACAGAAATTTCAAAAAAAAAAGAAAAATCCATCAATTAGATTTCAATTCTTTGCTCATGTTTCTTATATTCACTTCAAGTTGTTTTTTTTTACAAGATTTGTCTTTAACATCACAAGTGAAAGCATTACAAACCTCTTAAAAATAACCAAATACTTCGAAAACAAATTTTAGCCATTTTTGTAGCATTCAACTTTAAAATAAATCTTTCATTTGAAAGGTAAAAAAAGTGAAACAAAATAATAATAAAAATTATTTCACTTTGATATTTAATCACAACTTTCATCAATGTGATTTCAATGTTAAAATTTCTTCTGTCTTTATTATAAACACAGTAAAGCATAATTCTAATCTTTTAAACAACCAGTTAACTTTTAAGACAAATATAAGCACACTCTTCTTCCTTATAAGCTCAAATATACGTTTTAATTAGAAAATAGATATTTTCAGATTATTCAAAGGCATAGCAATAAATACTGCATCATATTCTTCTGCTTACAGTGATTATGAATGTTTTACATGCTACAGACTTCTTACACACACACCTCCATGAAATAGAACATGTATGTATGTATATATATGACACTAACAGTAATAGATTAATTTCTGAACTCGTATATAAATTAAGCTTAAAAATTCCAGCAACCAGTTTGTCGTAAATTATTAACATGCACGTGTAGTAATGCAAGAACATACACATAGTCAGTTTGGTGGGGGAAATAAATGCAGGTTCACAAAACTTTTAATCACTGACACTTTGGGTATGTAAAAACCTGTGGTATGAAAGGTGAGCCTATTAAAGTGTATAAGCTATAGCATATTATTACTAACTCACTCTTCGTTACATGTAGTCTTATTCTAAAGTTTATTACAGACTTGTATATAATTTATCATTTAATGTTTTGCTACAAGACATTAAACAGAACAAAAATTCATGTTTTTCTTTTTTTTGGTACTCATAGAAAATCTTAATGGTTTTATTTGACATAACAGTATTAAGTATATAACAAGTTAGATAAAATGTTTAGTGTCATGTTGTGGTCGTAACGATATTGTAAACAGTGGTGTCTAATTATCAGCATGCGTGCATTTTGTAGCTACCGTTAGTGTCAACAGACTTCTGCTGTTCACCAAGTACCTTTTACAGGCCAAAATTAATTAACAGAACACACACAGGATGGTTCTACTTCCTGATGTAATTCTGAAAATGACTTTTGTGTCCTGGATGACTCATGTACATGTGGGTACCCAGTGCTCAAGATGTATTACACCCACAATGTTTTAACTAAGTGTAAGTGTATTATTCTGCAGAGTGTGTACACTACATTACATGTTTTCACACTGGAACCAGCAAACCTTGAATATATAAAACAAACATATGTCACTGTGCTGTATTAAGCAATATTATAGCCTAAACCCACTCTCCTCACAGTCATTGTTATTTCCCTACCAACTGTAAAGAGTCACTGTACAATTAAAATACAATTTACTGCCCAAGTTGCAGCTAGAGGTTAGATACCTTTTATTTCTGAGGTAGCAGTTAAAAATGTGCATCGTATAGCTTATGGTGGGTTGCTAATCAACACTTCTGCGTGTGTATATATATCATAGTTTCCATAGTGATATAAAAATAACACCATCTGAGCCTCTTGGATATGGTGCTACTGAACTCACTAACGATTACACATAAACGATTTAATCTCTTAATTTACTGTTTTTTTAGGTTATTTATGATGTTACAAAATCAATCCTTTAATAATAATAAGTTCAGAACACAATTTAACAACAGTAGAGATCATAAACAAGCTTCAAATAAACAAATCTCTTCAAATTCCCTTAAAAATAACGGTCCAGAAAACAAACAAGCTTCCCATAACAGAATTGTTCAAACCCTCAGTCTACATGTAGAACAAAAACAAGCTTTCCATAATCAAATTTGAGTAGCTAAAGGAACAAAACGGTTATAGATGAACTTCAAATCTTAGCTTCCATAAAGCCACTATTTAAAAAATACAATATTTTCCGGATCATATTCTAACCCTGGATTTAAGTTGAATAATTCATCTTGACTATGATGGTTGTCTTCACAACAAGTTCTCTACATGAAGATCTTTTGCTGGCTTTGTGGGAAAAACATCAGTAATTCTTTGTTGCACTAAATGTTGATTTAAAGCCTAGAAATGATGAAAACCTTGTTAGGAGCTTTGAAGTTTTTCCATGAGATTCTCTCATTTTTGCCTGCTAATCACAGTTGTTAAAGCTATAAAAAGAAGATTTACTGGTCAACCAACACTGTTAGGGATGTTTGGAACACCAACCAATCTAAGCAAGTTTTCTCGACTTGCAGGTGTAGTCTGATCTATGCTTCAGGGAGACTGATGGGAACTGCAAAATTACTGTAAAGCTGAACTGGGATTTTGAAGTCTCGCATATTTGGACACAGTTTCAGGTGTAATAAATAAAATAATAAATAAAGTTTGAAAGTTTCAAGTGAATTGCCAGCTTGGTGCTGCACTGGCAAAGCCACAAGTCCAGAACTCAAGAAATTTCTTTTATCAGTCTGTTCTATCCAACTGGAATAAATTCAGAACAACCTATTCAATTCCATCACAACCACCAGCTCTAGACCATCTTTCCAATGAGAACAAGTCGAAATGCAAGTTAATAACTAACACCATGAATGATTTTGTAGCTCTTTCTGCACCCTTTTCTACACTTTCATATCAAGCACAAGCACATCAAATTTGACAATAAAGTATACAAATATATATATATATAGTGTTACGACAGCGGAAGTCACGTGACACTAGTAACACGTCATGAGTTTCTAGAACATTCCTGTCCCTTCCTGAAGCCTCGAGTGTTTACTAGATATGCGGTATTCTTGTATATTAGACCGCCAAGAAGTGACAGCAACAATGTAATTGAATTGCTGACAGAAATAGAGACGACAATTGAGTCAAGCTCGTGAATCGTTCGTTCATTGTGATTTATAGCGTTTGTTTAACTTATAGCGTGACTGTGGAAATTAAGTGTATTGCAAAGTTGTATTGAGAAAGAATAAACTAGTTTTATTTAAGAAAGGACTTGTATCGCTAAAGTTTCTTCGGAAATAATTTTTACGGAAAATTAACAAATGAACAGAGACATAACAATATACATATATAACCTCTTTACTCAACAGAAAATTTCTAAATTCAAACTTCAAAAGAAGAATTCATACTTTTACCAACATTGAGGTCAAAATCAAATCATTTTACAGATTATACTCGAAGCATTTTGTAAAACCACCCACATAGTTCAAGGATATCTAATTAATACCTAATTAAACACGAACAAAGCAATAAGAAATTAGGGAAAAATACATTTATAAAAAAATATGATTTAAAACCTACTACCATGTGCCTAAGCTTTTTCTAACCCTGGTAAATATATGTTAATCCCACAAGTCCTAACCCACATCAACTCCAATAACTGAAAAAGTTGAAACCTTCCCCCACCCCCCTCTTATGAAAAGAAATGGACACGGCTTAAGTGCCAACTAATATTTTTGCTGATGAAAACAAGGTAGAGAACCCTATGCTGATCATCTTCTTAAAGATGAAAAAAATGTCTATGAAATTCTATTTATATATAAATAATAGCTGTTTTAGAAAATCTTGAGGTTAAAGTTCCTAATTATTTGGGACTTGGTTATTATTATTCTGAAGTACTGATGGCTGGGAAATTGCCATCATGATATTTACATGATGATGAATTTATCAAGAGAAAGTGTCTAGAAAGGATCCAGGAAATTATATATCAATTAATTTAACTTTTTTGTTAAGTTTTTTTATCTTACCTGTTTGTTGGAGTTTTATAGTTAACAACCCTAACAAACCATGGTTTTATGAAAACACAAGCGACTGTCTATTCTTTATCTTATTAAAGTTATTGTTAGAGAACGTTCAGAGGACTACTAGGATGATTTGGGGGATAGATAGGTTGTCATCTGGAGATAAGATCTCTTGTTCTCATGAAAAAAAAAGGGAGAGGGACAAAAGTATCTAATTCGTTTGTTTTGTTTTGAATTTAGTTACACGAGGGCTATCTACGGCAGCTGTCCCTAATTTAGCAGGAAAGACTATAATGAAGGCAGCTAATCATCACCACCCACTGCCAACTCTTGGGCTACTCTTTTACCAATGAATAGTGAGATTGACTGTCACATTATAATGCCCCATGGCTGAAAAAGTGAGCATGTTTGGTGGGACAGGGAAACGAACCCACGACCCTCAGATTGTTAGTCAAGAGCCCTAACCACCTGGCCAAGTATCTAATTGAAGTTTTCAAAATTATTAAAAACACCGATAAGATTGATGCATTATTCTTGTGTCTTGAATTATCAAGAGACTTGAACAAAAGGTTATTAATGTCAAACTTAGAACGGTCATAAGCATTTCCAATTCAGGCAGTTTTATTTCTCCAGCAAGGTGGCAAATTTGTGGATCAAACTGCCGTATGAAATGGTAGAGACTGCAACATAAAGAGGATTTTTAAGTAATATGGATTGCTGTTTATTTGAGAGGAACGGAGCTAAATTTCGTGATTAAAGTTTTCTCTTTTTGAAAGAGGTTAAGAGTTAAGGCATCCTAGATGGGCTAAAAGGCTCCTTCAAGTCTCATAACTTACAATTATGTTAGGCCTTCTCTTTCAAATCCTGCAATTTTTACAACTATCATTTACTCTGTATACTAGCAAACATTTAAACTTACAACAACCTTCCAACAAACATTAGAAATAATACATACCTGACGGTGAAAAGTCCTGGCTTTTCTGGCGATACATCAAAAGAGAGCGTTGCTTTGCTAATGTCAATCTCACCTAGTGGAAGTAGGTCTTCTGGAGCCCTGTAGTAATACAGCTTACAACTATTTTCCGAAAACACAAACCATCGTCTCTTAAATGATTTCAACAATCCTCGACTTCCAAGTTTATTCAAATAGCCACACAGCTTCGAATTATCGTTCTGAGGTTTCTGCTGAACAACATTGTTGGGCTCACTACTGTAGCTGTTATTACTCCCACTACTGTAAGTGCGACAAATATAATATTTTTCTTCGCTTGACGTTGATGATGCAGACCTAGCCTTCTCTTGATTTATATAGCTTTTTGAACACTTCTGATCACCAGGATGTACGATGGAATAAACTGGCTTATCAGCAGTCTCTTCATAAGTACTACATGCGGGTTTCGACCTATACTGCACTTTTTCATAATCAACAAGACAACAGTCATCGTTCATTGACATGATTGTAACACATCAATATTTATGTATTTCATTTAAAATATAACTTTCTAAACATACATCCAGCACCATACACATGTTGTTTTTTTCACTTCTCACAATGTGTCAAATCTAATTATAATTATAAGCAACAAATTTCATGTCAGTTTTCATTTAACATCCTTTGGTCAGATCCAATACACTCTAAAATATGAAAAAAAGGTGGTGTAAGAACTTAATGTATATAACATTTAAAGATGATACACTAATGGAACAAAATATTCTTTAAATTCATTAAATTTAATAAAAATTTCATTTAATTAAAATTTTCAAATCTTAGAACTCTTTAATTAGAGCTTAGTTGTTCTTTTAAAGTGAATTTTAAGCTTTCAAAGTAAACGTGAAAGGTAAATACAAGCTTTTAGCTTTATAGCTATATCAATATTTATATTAATGGGTGTGTCTATCTATGACATAAGATTTTTCAAGCCACTTTTTTTCATTCCCCTCTGCCACTTCACTAGTATCACAAGACTATTGCCCCCCCCCATTATGATATCATATTAAGTCAGATCCCCTCCTACTGCTTGTTAAAAATGATAATAAAATGCTTACTTTTTTTTTTAATTCTTACTCCTCCTCAAGCTGGCATACTTAACCCACAAAAACTATTTGTTAACTTACTGTAGGTTATATTATTTATTTATCAAATGGTGGTAAAACACAGAAAGCATTAAAACATGAATGAAAAAATATAATAATCATTAAACATAAAAACAACTGGGTGTCCAGTCACTGACCCTACTCCCTTTTTGTACAAAGCTGTCCTGTTCACTTGACTGACCCTCCTGTCACAACTGCAAACACCAACAACAGTTGCCCCCAGAAACTTCATCAATATGTACACCCCCTGTAGTTAGTGCTGACATAGTGCCTAGGGGGAGGACTCTTTAAATACCAGCATACAAGTTAAGGACAACAAGAGACCTGTTGTCCATCCCACTAAACCAAACTTTAATCTACCACATCTGTATGCAAGTCATTCCAGGGGCCAAGCAACCTATTAAAAAAATAAAACTCTTGACTGAAAATGACTCTTATCTTTCCAACATTTGTGTCCCCTAGTATTACCATTAGGTATTAAAAATGATGCATCAACAATTTTAAACACCTCAATCATATATTTTCTAAGTCTTCTTTTCTCAAGACAAAACATTTTCAGAAATCTTAGCCTGTCCTTGTATGATAACCTCTTCATCCCAGGTATCATCCTAGTAGCCCTCCTCTGAACCTTTTGCAACAATGTAATGTCCTTCTTAAGGTAGAGAGCCCAACACTGAACATAAATGCTCCAAATGTGGCCTAACCAATGACCTATACAGTAAAATTGTAACTTCTTCAGACTGGTATTCAATAGTCCTATAAATACAGCCCGCAGCTCTATAAAACTGCCTTGTAAAACAAAAACTTTTTTTTCTATTGACAATATAGTGAATTTCACATTGTCAATCATAACAATAATGAAACTACAATATAAAACTAATGTAATGCAAAGGTAACTTTTGTACCTTCATGTCAACAACAAAAAATGAAATAATAAAAACATGTAAAAATGTTATTGTGATTCCTGCATTATCACAATATCAGTGGGATACCGAACAAGATGAATTACATGAAGTAGCACAAAAATTAGAATTAGATAACAATATGATTCAAGTCTTTACCACCATCACATACTGTTCAATTTAATTTGTGCACAAGTCTCTATTCTCAGGCTCAGCTTTACATATTGAAATGCACACTCTACTCTACATACCTATCTGCTTAATCAAACAATATACTATTTTTAACAGTTCTATTTCAAAACATTACCCAGTGAACGAGTGATCCACCACAACAGTCAATTTATTAAGCAGCTTGAACTTGAAACAAAATCATAACAATATTGTGGTCCTTTATCCGGTTTGGATAATTTACTAAGTAACAAAAATATTTTAATTATGCAGTACGTTTCTAAATTCTAGTTTATAAATCTACTAATATTACTAGTATTAGTACGAAAAACGGGACAGTGGTTTTAACAACTTACAAATTACAGACTGTAAATTGTAATCGAAAAATTGTCTGGTAATAACAATGTTATTCATTTTATAGCCTGTACTTTTTTAGTTGTATAATAAATAAAACCGTTGCAAACTAATTACGAATACTAAAGATTATAATAATTTATATATATAGTATTTAAATATAGGATAGCCGAATTATAGTATTCTTACATAATATTATTTGACAAGACGATAAGTAGTAGCTAACAATACTTGTACGTTGTATTACTACGCTTCCAGCAATAGTAGTAAAGTCTACTAAAAATAAAAGAACAAGCAGAACCGAGATGGTAGGAGTGATAAAAAATAAAGCAAGAAAATTATGTAATAATTTAACACATAAACTAATAGAAAAAGGTAATTAACGAAAAATATTATACTTACAAATTTTATAATCATTATTGATTTTTAAATAAATTACCTACTCTACGCCTCTGGTACTCGTAAGTTACATTACGCCGATATAAAACAAACAACCAGGGTAACCTAAACTCCACCTACCCAAGAGGTTTCGTAATCGCCATCTCCAACCTAATCACGTGCAATTTAGCCTCGTTTTCGTGTCTATTTAGCTAGAATCTGATAACTAACTTATTAATAAAACATCAACCTATTTATTCATATTACGTACTGTGCCTATTTCATTCCATGATGTCCAAGCACATTATATATATTTAACTGCTTCTTGCATTAGCGGTTTTCTTAATTCTATTTCAAGCATGAACCTGCTAATATTGAATGACACCTTAAGCTACAGCTGACTTCTACGGTCAACAACGCCTTGAGCAATACTAATTTGCTATGTGTGTAACAATGCGATGAAATAAGTGTGTAGGCAACATTGATAGCAATAACTGACATCTGGTATTAAAGTTATTAACCATATAGAAATTATGACGAATACAGATATAACATTCGAAGATTTAGCTTTTACATGAATTGAATAATAAAAAACCACGATCTTTGTAATTATATAACAGTAAAAAAATCATATACACACTGTTGTTTAAAAATATTTAAGATAAATCAATTACTTAAATACAACAAAAATAAGGGAAATGGAAGTATAGGTATTATATACAAAAAATAAATTGTTCATACTTCAAATAATAGATTGTATAATTAAAAGTTTAATTTTACGTCGATACCACGACAAACAATATGTTTTACATCTTTGATAAGTTGTAGTGTTGAAGCTAGGAGGGAAATCCCCCTGTGCAAAAAGTTTCCCCTGAATTACATGTTTTCCATTTTGTCAAATTTGAATTTTAATCCCACCTCCCTTCCCGGTGGAAAGTTCTGGATTCACCACTGGTAAGTGGTGTCTGTACAGTATCGAGTGGTTGTTAGCCGTTACACACTGGTGGTCCTCTGTCTTGTGCTTGGATGGCAATAGCTTCTTTCAGTTTTCTATGTTTGTTGTTTTTTACTCTGTCTATTATTTTTGCATTTTAAAGTCTATTATATGGTCATTTTCCTAAAAGTGAAAAGCTATAGCTGATGTATTTATAACACAGTTCTTAATATCTCTTTTGGGTTGTTTGAACCTTACTCCAATTTATTGTTTATTACACTCACATTTAGTGCTACAAACCAGGTTATCTGTAAGAGAGCTAAGAACTAGGGATTTTACCTTCGTAAAACTGTCATGTAGTGTAGGAGAACTAAATTAACACTGATGTTAAGTTTATTCACTATCCTACGAAGTTTTTTTTTCCCCTTAGGTCTGGTATATAAGGGAGAAATGTTTATGCTTTTTTTTTCGTTGTGACTGTAATTTGTGGTTCATTAGTAGTTGAGATAGGTGGACCATATAACATACGGTGAATCGTATTCTTTGGATAACAGTTATTCCTGAAAATCTTCTCATTTGAAACAACCTCCAACTAATGGGCTGCTGTATTCGAAAAGTGGGATTTGACTATTACTCTTATAACGTACCCACAGCCCCAAAGTGCGGAGTGCGATTTATTTTCTGGCAGTAACGATGCGCGAGCCACGGAACATCGGATCCACAATCCGACACGTTAACCAATAAGCATCGTTCGGCCCATTACATGAATCACCTTTATCACTCTTGTTTCTTTTAAGGACATATAATTATAAAAACTAATTCGGGAGTGTGTTTCATAAATTTTGGAAGTTGTAGCTGATATCATAATTTTGTCAGAATAATTCCGAACATTTAAAACAGTAGCGCTTATTACAGATTATATGTCCTCTATGGTGCGGAAGTGATACTTAAAAAAACACAAAGTGAGCTGTCACGTCCATTATGTTCCACGGATCTGTGGTAAGTACGAACTCACAACCCTAAAATCTGTGGTTCGATTCCCCTCGGTAAACAGAGCGCAGACAATCCATTGTGTAGCTTTGTTCTGAAACAACAACATCTTTGTCATTCTATTTATTTATTTATTTATTTGAAATTAAGCACAAAGCTACACAATGGGCTATCTGTGCTCTGCCCACCACGGGTATCGAAACCAGGATTCTAGCGTTGTAAGTCCGCAGACATACCGTTGTGCCACTGGGGGGTCTTTGTCATTCAGGGACGGTCCGGCATGGTCAGGTGGTTAGGGTGCTCGACTTGCAATCAGTGGATCGCAGGTTCGAATCTCCTAAACACCAAACATGCTCGCCCTTTTAGCCGTGGGAGCGTTATAAGGTGACGGTCAATCCCACTATTCGTTGGTAAAAGAGTAGCCCAAGAGTTGGCGGTGGGTGGTGATGACTAGCTGCCTTCCCTCTAGTCTATCACTGCTAAATTAGGGACGGCTAGCGCAGATAGCCCTCGTGTAGCTTTGCGCGAAATTCATAAAAAACATTCAGGGACAGATTTTGAACATGATTATTATGCTTAAAGGTTTTAGGGAATTCAACACTAAATACGGCTTTTGTTGTTCATTTTACTAAAATCGGTTTTATATTTTTAATAATCAAAACAAACAATGTAGTGAGAGTAGTTCCCCGTGAACAATATATAAACAAAAAATTCTTACTAAAAAGTTAAAATACAATGCAATAACAGATTATCATTTTTTTATCTTTTTACTACAAATTTTCATTATGCTTCAACATTTTTACTCTGGTATGAAAAACACACATAAAAGTTACATTTTTTATCAAGTTAACAAATGTAGTACAAAGTAACACTATTATGTTAAATACATTGTAAATAAATATGGCTTAACTACATAAAGATTTGGAAAATCTCCATTTTACAGGCCTATAACTTATAAGTTTAAATTTTTATGGACAGATTCCCGAAACATATATTTAAGCCATTATTTTAGAAAAACTTGTGTGTGTATCCGCTTATAACTGACATTCGGATCTAAACCCCTATGTCACCCACTGATATGTTTTCCCTCTCGTTTTTTACTTCAAAATTGGGACTGCTATTCCTGATAATAAATACTCCAGTAGCTTTGCAAGAAGTTCCTCAAAACAAACAGACTATACTGCCATCTAGTGAGCACTTGAAAAACATACCAAGGAATACTGACAAAATATTTCTTGCATTTCTGCAGAATAATTTATATAAAATCACAAAGAATCATCTTTAAAGAAATATTTAATATTCATACAGCCTTGAGGGTTGTGGGGTTACTTGAAGTCATTCACTGTTACCACAGTAGCCTTGAGGAAACGTTACTCAAAATCACCTACTGTTGGCACAGTGACCCTGAGGGTGTTATTTGATATTGTCCATTGTTATTACAGTTGCTTGGGGATATGTAAATACTATAAACCAATCCATTTGCAAGTTAGAACATGGATGATCAACTGGCTACCAGCAATCAGTTGGTAGGTAGGCATATAAATCCTATAAGTACTAGTACAACTACCACTCGGCCAAAACGTTTTGTTGTGGTACCGCATTCAAATGTTTATATAAAAAAAAGAGTATTAATGAACGTATTTTAGCATTTTTTGCGATACATATTGCTAAAGGAATTAACATATCATTTGATACTTTTAGTGCGACATAAGGTAAACATTTCATGTTTATAATTTGTTATCTTTACGAGCTGTAAAATGCACACTGCGGCTTGTACCTGTTACGTCTCTGTGTTCGGTTGTTAATTTTCCGTATAATTTATTTCCGATGAAACTTCAGCAATACAAGTCTTTTCTTAAATAAAACTAGTTTATTCTTTCTCAATTCGACTTTGCAATACACTTAATTTCCACGGCCACTTTAAATCAAACACACGCTATAATTCACAACGAACGATTCACGCGCTTTACTTACGTCACTACCGCGGTTGACTCAATTGTCCGTCTCTATCTCTGCCTGTCTGCAATTCTATATCGATTCATTGTCTGGCGCACTTATATACAAGAATAGAGGGTGCCTAGCAAATACTGGATTATTCGTGATGTTCCCTGATCTTTCGTGTTACCAGCGTTACGTGACTTCCGTTGTCGTAACATATCACTAAAAACCGGGTTTCGATACCTGTTGTGGGCAGAGCACACAGTACTGATAGTACGCCTTATTTTAAAGCGAATGACGTGCATCCTACCAAAGTAAATATGTGGATATCAAAACTGTTTAGTAGAATTTGTGGCCTTCTATTACCTCAATGTTGCCCATCGCTGACTGAAAATACGAATACATCTCTCTTTGTATAACTTAAGTTTTTTATATATATGTTTCTGAAATTAATTAGAAGATCAATAAAAAGAGGGTATATCCAAACTTGAACTACCTTTTAATCCTGTCACTAGGTAGTAAGACATAATCAAAAGATCTAGTCTAGGTGTGCTGCGGCCGTGAGCCTCCCCCCTCTCTATATATATATTGGGTATGCTATAAGAATGGCAATGAAGTCTCAATATATGGACGGCGTACTTAATAAATCATTGAGTATGTTTTAGTGAACAATTAGCTCGTTGATCACATGTGGAGGTAGAGATGCTAGAAACCCTCGTTTCATTTTCTGCTAATAGGATTAGTC